CGTAGGAGGGCGCTTCAGTCTTCATCATGGACTGCAGACTCTGATATCCCTCGCCGGACATGTACGAACTGGACGTGGACATTCCCATGATATAGCTGGAGGGAGGAGGGGGTGGCGGGCGGTGAGGCAAAGGGGGCGGGGCCCCGTGCGGCAGAGGAGGAGCCGGGCCCTGTGCTGGATCCATGTCAGCTGATGTGGCCGGTTCTGCTTCAGCGGGAGGAGCTGGGATGGCAGATGGAGCCTTACGATCTATGTGTGGACAGACATTATTATAGTACCAATTATTTACATTATACTTCATATAGTCACTTTATTATAGTTTTTATTAGCAAGCATCATTGCATTGTGTATATACACTACTGTTCAAAAGTTTGGGGTTGGTAAGGTTTCATAAGATTTATTTTGCTGCTTATTTCAAAACACAGAAAGCCTCACCTAGGGGTTGGGACACAGGAAGAGGGGGCATAGGACTCTCCAGGCGTGGTATCTTAGATCCAACTTGCTCTGTTTCAGAGACCGAGAGAAATTAGCACTTAAAGGGGTCATCGGATGCCCATTTTCCACAAGTTGATATGATTCTTTAGGGTCTTAATGAAAAGTCTGTAACATAGTTTAGTTAAACGCTACTGTCAATCAAACTATCGTGGGAGGGGCCTGTCGAGATCGCCTCGATTTGAGAAACGGGTAAAGATTTTAGTAGATTAAAAAAAAAAACACTGGGTGGATTTTTATCATTATAGGGTGGTTGTGTACACACACTGCCAACACACATTTCAGTTCAAACAACTTGTAAAAGTGCATGTAGCATCCTATGACCCCTTTAATACAAATTCATAATATCACAAACAAGATTTATTATTATGACACTATAAAAATGTCCAGAGTGATTTACCTGTTGGGGCTTTAGGTTCGTCTTTAGGAGAGACCTACAAAACAAAATAAAACATGAGCCTTAAATACCTCACAATTATTGTTATACCTCACAATTCTTCAAGAAACTGATTTTTTTTTTTTCCATCAACAAAGTGTACAATTTTTGTTACAGATCTACCATGAGTTCTGAGATCGTTCGATTGCACTGCTATAAGGTTCTGTAAAAGCCACAATTTAAAGTAATATTTCATCCAAAAATTTAAAGTTAAAATTTAAAATAAACTTCTTTTATTTGAGAAGAGTTTTTTGTCCATAAAAAAAATTAATGTTTTGGTTTGGTTACCAACATTCTTCAAAATAAGTTCTTCTGTGTTCTGCAGAAGTAAGAAAGTCATACAGGTTTAGAACAATATGAGCATGAGTAAATGATGACAGAATTTTCATCTTTGGGCAAACTATGTCTTTAATGTGATTTCAACTTTTAAAAATGAATTCAGTTTTAATAGCCAAATTGCCGGTAAAGACTACACTATCCATAATCCTGAAGCAGGCAGCCTCATAAGAGTCCGGGATGAACGCATGTGTGCCATGGAGGTGACCTGAATGATGAGTGTTTTCCATAATATATCAGAGCTGACTGTGAATGCTTTACTTACATGTTGTCGTTTAATCTTGGCGGGTGGGCTGGCCTGGGGGGAGTTTTTTTTGGAGGGAGGTTGAGCAGGTGGGTTCTGCCCCCCTGACTGGCCAGGCTGAGCAGCAGGAGGGGGTGGAGGTTTCTCTTTGTCCTGTATCTGAGGCTGCTGGGGTATCGGCTGCTTACCCTGAGAGTACAAATCCAGAATCTGGTGGCAGATGTCTGAAGAACACAAGACAAGGGTAGAGATCATGAAAATGCTGGAAGAGAGCAGTGTATCATGACACAATGAACTAGACTGCTCTGGTTAATGTTCCCATATGAAAATAATTAGGTGTAGAGAGGGCTTGTGCCCTGTCTGCTGCAGTCTCTTACCCTCCAGCAGCTCCACCGGCACATCCTGCACAAACTGCTCCCACCAGCGGCGAGACGACTGCTTAGACGTCCACTCCTGAATGTCAAACTTACACAGCCGGCCGGCGAGGTACATGACTGCCACTGCTATGATCTCTGTCTCCCACTGAAGGGACAGCATTGTGCAGAGACTGGAAATACACACAAACATGCTAATAAAACACTGGGGTACTATGTCCAAAAGTAATTAGTTTTAAATTTAATTGATCATTTGTCCCTCACTGTTGTCCCTTAACGACGCAACTGATGTGAGTAAAAGACATGCAAAGAAAGTCGAAATGTCGCAAACTGTGCATCCCTAAACAACTTTATCTAATAAATTTACCATTAGAAGTCTAAGAAGCTTCATGACTTATGAGGAATATTATTTTTTGTTTTTGCCTTTTATTGATAGGATAGTAGTGAGACAGGAAGCGAAGTGGGAGAGAGGGGGGATGGGATCGGGAAAGGTCCACGAGCCGGGACTCGAACACGGGACGCCCGAAGCGCAATGGCGCTACATGTCGACGCGCTGCCCACGAGGCTATCGGCGACGACATGAGGAATATTTCTTGCATTGAGCCATCATGAGGAACAAATTCACAGTGTCTCTTAATTACATTTAATAATAATTTGATTATTATGATAATTTTAACATGTAGCCAACAGTTTCACAGAGATACAGAGACAGGTCCACGAGCCGGGACTCGAACACGGGACGCCCGAAGCGCAATGGCGCTACATGTCGACGCGCTGCCCACGAGGCTATCGGCGACGACATGAGGAATATTTCTTGCATTGAGCCATCATGAGGAACAAATTCACAGTGTCTCTTAATTACATTTAATAATAATTTGATTATTATGATAATTTTAACATGTAGCCAACAGTTTCACAGAGATACAGAGACTGGAAGTATATGCATCAGTGTTATTTTTAATATCAGAGATACTATTATAATTATATATACTGAATATATACTGAATAAATATAAATATATATATATATATATATATATATATGGTCACATATTAGAATAAATAAATGATAAATTACCCCAAAGCAGTACTTTGCCTATAAACACTGTAAACTATTAGGCATTATATGGTAGGATGAAAAGAAAATGCTACGGATTAAATAATCTGCCAAAATGCATCAAATGTAAAAAAGTATCAGATTGTCAAGAGCATAAACACTTACATATCTGGGAAACTGTTTGAATGAATGAAACATGTAAAAACGATGAAAGTATGTTATTCCAGTTGCCAGAGTGTCATAATGTCTTAAAAATTGGTTAAGGAGAATATCAGAATCCTCTCAATATTTCAAAACCATTCCTACACAGAACTGAAACTATGTATATGTATACATGGCAGTATTAAAAGGATACAGTCCCAGACGTGTCCCGACGTCGAATATGAACCGGGCTCCCTCTCGTCTGTACCGGGCTTCTGTGGCTGGATCCAGGCCATCGGACTGGGACGGGGTGTGGGCCAGATCCTTCTTGTCCCAGTACCAGCATGGCTTTGTGTGGTCCAGATTTGTGGCAAAACTTCCAGCAGCGGCGGTAGAGTTCTCCTTGCCGTCCTTCATTTGGAAGGAAGTGACAGCTGATGCCAAACTGGACTATCAGGCCGCCGTTGGACAGCAATAGCTGTGCAGGTCTGTACAGCAAAGGACTGAGGATATCAGTCAGTTAATTAACATATCTGCTTAAAAGACAATTCCTATTCAGAAAACATTATCAGTTTGACTGTACTGACACGATTGGATGAACTTGAACTAAATTGAGCTTCTGCAGAGCCGTTTTAAAGCTGAGATTGAAGTTTGTTTTATAATTAACACATTTTATAACAGTTATTTTACTGTGTATTACTGTAAAGGTGGCTTTAAAAAAAAAAAAACTGTTGAAGCGCTATATAAACAAATTTGACTTGGCACTTCCACTGGAGGTAAAGACTTTATAAAGCTATAATTAACACTGGATTCCAATACTGATCACAAAAAAACATGTCTTTTGGACATTGTTATCAGTGAACATAATACTTCAAGATGATTTCAG